TGAGTTGGTAATGGGGGTGTTGAAGCTAAAAAGCCACGGCTCAATCTGAACAGAGGTCATCAGAGATTTTCATAAAAACCCTTTCACCTATATCTCCCAGGCTGCTTTAGCTGTGTGGATCACCGTGTTGAGATTCATGGGCGATCTGCCTGAACCTAAATGCGAAATGGTCCTCCATGACGGGAGCGAGAAGATTCCTGTCATGACCAAGATCTACGAAACCCTCGGCAAAAGGACCTATAAGAAGGAGCTGCAGGAGCTGCAAGTGGAGGAGGAGGTGAGATGCTGCTGGTCAGTGTATCCAGCATTTTAAGAAATGTCTGGTTTCTTAGGGTGCGGAGAATCATTTAACCATGTTTGTCTACAGAACAGCTCCGCTGACGCTCAGAAGAGGAACAGCATCAGACATAAACTGGTGTCTCTAACACTCAAGAGGAAATCAAAGATAACAGAGGAGGTGATGCTCCATTTAGTAAAAGCAGCTAATCATTACCTGATGTTTAAAGATCTCATTTATCCTTACATACAATATTAAAGTTAATTCAGAGGTTAAAAACACATTTAGGGTAAAATGTAAAGCTTTTAATATGCTTTAATAATAGTAATTGAGCTTCATTGATCTCACATTGGAGAAATTGACCTCTGCATTTAATCCAGTGGGCTGCCATTGTGCGGCGCCCGGGGAATAATTATATTTGCAGTTTTCCTCCTGTTAACATTTCTTTTAAGCACCTTTATTTACATAATCTCAGAGCTTTTAGGTTGCACTTTTCTTTTCTCCCCAAAACGTCAAAAAAAAAAAAAACTTTTATGGTTTGTTGAAGGTCACCAGGCGGCTGACGGAGGGCGTGGATTATGGGCTTCAGGGGAACAGCATGCTGGAGGATCGACCCACCTCCAACCTGGAGAAGCTTCACTTCATCATCGGAAACGGCATCTTACGGCCAGCCCTCAGGTTCACTGTGCAGTTATTCTGGTGTCGAATCAGATAAGGCAAACGAAACTCAGACTGACAGATAAAAGTTAAGGTTATGACTGTAACATTTGACATAGAAAGGTCATCATATTATACTAACCTGTTTCTGCAGTGTTTTACTGGACCGTGGAAAAGCTTTCACCCACGCCTTGTTATTTTTCCAACTTGAATTGATGCAAAGTTTCATTAAAATAAGCAAAACTATTGTAGAATCAGAATCTAATCATTGGTAGCAGGGGGGATTTACCATTAGGCAAAACTAG